TAGATATGATAAACGAAATGTGGCTACAATGAATCATTGAATGGCTGGCTGGTAATTCCCCCATCCATGCCATGGTTCCCCTCCCATCAAAACGGTGTTTTTTCTTAATTTCCACCTGATGATGTATACTATTTTTGTTTACATAGGTCAGTGGATGTTTCACCCATCTCCGAAATGTGTCAACTCAGGTTAGTATATCATTTTTCTTTCCTTTTCACACAATTTTAGTAAATAGGAGGGCCTTCCTTTATATATACTGTACTGTAGTAACTCCACCCGTGAAGCCTGTCACTATCCTGCCAGTCCTGTGGCAGTGCGAATTAATGACTGCAACAAGTGAGTATAGGCCTAAATACTGAAGAATCTACAGAAAAATCCATACCTAAACTATACGCCAAAGGAGACCATCTATATTCTTGAATCCACTAAACTTGGGGTTTTGTTGTGATCGACATGTTTACGTTCATGAATGTATTATGTGGAACTAATATAGGGACTCATTACAGTTCAAACAAAAGCAGATTCGTGCATCTCACTCGACTATACATCATGTACATAGTAAAAGTATAGTGCACTCGGAAAATTTCTTTTCCGGATTCTAGAACATGCCGAAGAAGTTGTGGAAGTTGGGAAAACTGAACCACGTAGCGATCGCCTGCCCCAACCTCGAGGCTGCCATGGACTTCTATAGGGATGTACTGGGAGCAACTGTCGGTGAACGTATGGTGGGTTTGTCAGTTATACGTCAAGCTGATCCTATTGGTGGTGTGAAGTATGTCTAAGAACAACAATATATATCTGTTGATGCGAAGAAGTAAGTGTAAGAACAACTAGCCACCGCATGCTTTGTTGGTGCAAGTGTCAGTACTTGGTAAAGCTGAGTAAGGGTCTAGCAGCAGTACAGTGCGCGCACACATCGCCAGTGTGTATGTTAGTTTTTGTGAAGCTTTTACGATGCTTCATAACAAACAAGGTGAACAGATAACAAACAAACAACAGCATAAACAAGCAGAATAAACAGAATGACCAGGATTCAACAGAATAAACAGAATAAACAGGATAACAAACAAACAGAGAATTATGGAAAATACTCACTTCTTTGAGAGAAGAATAGGATAGCTAATGATATCCATCAAAATAAATATGATTAATAAAGTTATTATTATTGATTAAATATTTAGTTTGATTGAATTTATCATTATTTCATTGAGTTTTGATGTAACGTGCATGCCTGTCCACTTGTGTTATCTATTTAGCCCCAGAAAGAGCATGGAGTATATACAGTCTTTGTGACCCTTGGAGAAACGAAAATCGAGGTGAAGTATTATATTTATTGGTATATGATTGGGAACTAGCTGTATTTTACATAATGTATTGCTGTGGTATAACACGATGGAAATACATTGGGTTCATTTAAACAGTGCTTGGTGTGATTGTTTTAAAATTGTGTTAACTGATATCTAGTCAACGTTACTTTATCAGTGAGTAATTTGAAATCTCAGTCTTAGGTATTCTTGCATGGCATGCAAATTTCAGGGTGTCTTTTCATGCAATTTGGCAGCCATTTAACACGCTGATAAACCGGTATAGCTGATCCAACCTAGCAATATTGTTTAGAGAGGTCGTGCTTATCTCGCACGGATGGATAGGTTGGTTGCTCGTACGATAATGTGATGGGTGCATGTTGCAGCTCCTGCATCCACTTGGTGAGAACAGTCCAATCAGTGCATTCTTGGAAAAGAACAAGATGGGCGGAATGCACCACATCTGTCTGGAGGTAAGACTTCACTCCCATGGCTCTCTACATAGCAGCAGAATAATTATACATCCATGTCTGTCAACTTGCACGATTTAGAAGGGAGTGATGCCATCTTGACTTCGTGTCATGATGGAAAGACAATGATCATGAAAGAAGAACTAAAACACGAATTTGTGCTACGTTTCCAAGGTATACACCAAGTAACTAGTGACAGTGGTATAGGTTGGGTATGTAGCCAAGCGGAATATGCTCATGTCCCATCAATGTGTTGACTTCACACGCTGTGTTTACAACTCCAGTGCATAATATATACATAGCACTTCGGTTATATGTGGATGGCTTTATTTTCAATTTTAGTTTTCATAGATTAGTTTTCTTTTACAACATTTAAAGTTATTGGCTGATACGTGTGATGTATGTGAAAATAACGTAGCACGAGTAAATTATTTGAATATGGGTTAGAACTGCCCAGGTGAAGTTGATGTGTCACTGATCATTTCTTGACTTTCAGGTGAGTGACATCAATGCAGCTATTGCAGACGCCAAGGCTCACAATATCCGGACACTTGGAAAAGAGCCAAAAATCGGAGCACACAACAAGCCAGTCATGTTTCTGCATCCAAAGGACTGCAACGGTGTGCTAGTTGAGCTAGAAGAGGTCTAAGCATTGTCCAACTATTACTAGCCACAGTAGCCAGTGCAGAATTAACGCCAAAAACTAACAGAGAACTGAAAGTGACATTGTGCGCGTAAACGAGGATGTAGTACTTTTAATGATAATGAGTAATATCCTTTCATGATGTCGTAAGTCCAATTCGGTCTGGTGAGGGGAGGGGCTCTGCTTCTGGAAATCGAATATGTTGGATTGGCTACCTCTGCTCAATATTTGTTCTGTATCGATTAAAAATAACTAGAATCGGGTCACCCATGTAAGTGTCTATACTTTCTATGGTGTAGTTACTTTTCTACCAGGTGGGTAACTTGTTACATGTATTGTTAATGTTAAATTATTTTTTTCTTGCCGCATCCTGTTTGGATACTACCTACATTCAATACTCTTTCTATTTTACGACCTCCCTTTCTATACTTAAAGGCATACTAGGCCCATTGATTATGCAATGTTGACGAATGCTAGAGTAACTGGCACCTTGTGTAATTAATAAGTACATAACCTTACATCCAAACGCGTATTAGTTTGTCAAATATCACTGCTGGTTACTAAGGCTCAGGGTTTATGTCCCCCAGGGTACTGCCGGAACGTACCCTGGTCACTATTTGATATGGTTAGGATTAGGGTTAGGGAGTAGGCGTAGGCGACTCCCTAGACTCGTTAGTGGAGTAGGCGAGGTACGGTCCGGCATATTAGATAGTACCAGGGTACGTTCTGGCAGTATCCCGGGGGACATAGACCCTCTCAGCGTTACTAAGAAATGTCTAATTGAAATCCGCAGTCCAAGAAATCAGTTGTTTACAGTTTCAAACCGCTGCCAGCGAAGTGGGTGTGGTACAGATTTATAGTGCACCGGACATTTTCGCACGCATGCTCGGCCGTACGCAATGCTATCATCAGTGATTTCGTAAAACACGGACGCTCGTGATAAGGAAATTTTTGTCAGGGCTGTCCATGTGCGTCCGTGCTTAGTACGTGTGTTTTACTCCTTTTTCATGTTTAGTCCGTGGTCGTGGTTACACTGCTGACACCTCCATTTCACCTGGCGTCCAAAACATACGGGCCGCACAAATGTTTACGTCATCGCTTGACTCCTGGATGACATTTACGGCATGTAAATGAATATCAACAACCGATTTCAAGTCTTGCTTGTAATGTAACCAGCAGTGATATTGGACAAACTAATACGCGTTTGGCTATAAGGTTATGTACTTATTAACTACACAAGGTGCCAGTTACCCTAGCATTCGTCAACATTGCATAATCAATGGACCTAGTATGCCTTTAATACTTTGTCCTTTAGCAATGCACTAAGAGAATGGTAGCAATCATGTAGAGCTGTTCTATGACTAGTCAGTTATGTTATCATGAATCAAATTGGGTAAGAATTATATTGTTAATAATAAATATAGATTGTTGGCCGTATGCAATAGTATTTATTTAGTTGTGCAGACTATAGGATAGCACAGGAACTAGTCCCAGCGATTATGTGCGACGTACCAGAAATCAAATGTTGATTAATAAATGAAGTAATTGTTATTAACGAAACAGATGAGTTATTATCATTCTCCTGTGGAGTATTCTCCACAGACCCTATCACAATGACAAAGAAACACATTTTTTTATAAAAACAAGTGCTACTAATTAGGAAATTTAGCAGAGTCCACAATTTTTATCTCGCCTTGACATCGTCAAGATGAGCTATTGCCATGGGGTGTCGTCCGTCGTACGTCCGTCCGTCCGTCCGTCCGTCAACATTTGGCTACGGTCAACGATAACTCAAGAACAGTTTGACCCACATGTTTCAAATTGCATATAGTTGTTACTCTTATGGGAGAGATTTGAACGTCCTATTTTGGAGCGCGCCAGTCGACCTACATTCGAGCCACGTCCACTTTTTGGCAATAATGGAAATGGCCATAAGTCAGTTCAGGTTCACTGGATTTTGCTCATTTCTGGTATGTAAATGAATGAGGACTGGCTCCAAAACATATCACACAGGTTTTGTTTTTTTATTATGCAAATTAGGTAGATTTTGCCAATTTCACTATGCATTTCAGTGTCTGCCTACAGTCAACGACAACTCAAGAACCGTTTGACCCACATGTTTCAAATTGCATACAGTTGTTATTCCTATGGAAGATTTGAACGTCCTATTTTGGAGCACGCCAGTCGACCTACTTTTGAACCACGCACACTTTTTGGCAAAAATGAAAATGGTCATCTAAATTCATTCAATTTTGTTAAATTTTGGTATGTGAATGTGTAAGGCTAGCCCCAAAACAGTTGTTACTCCTATGGGAGAGATGACGTCGTATTACATTTATTTCGTCTAACTGGTTAACAACTCTACAATCATACCTATATACGTGTAATATTGTGTTTTAGATTCTTCATTACAGTAATTTGACTGGAATATTTTATTGTTTTTATTTGCGCGATATTCGAAAACCAAAATGGCGATCATTTAGGCAAAGCGCCATCTCTCATCAAGATTTCAGACTTTCAGATCTGAAACATTTATTTTCGCATTAAAAACTTATGCATATATCATTATCAAGAGTATATAATGGGAGACATGCTATATAATGGGAGTTCTCCCATATATACTCTTGCTTTATATATCCCCCCTCCCTCTTCTATCACACCCAAGGTGAGCTAGTGTCATTGACACTTTCATTTCTCAAATAAATGAGTAAACATAGTGACTTTGGGCACTGAGTAAGATGACTGCTCTGATATAATTAGTGAAGTTATGTATGGAATAGAAATGACAATTAAAGTATTATTACAAGTGTTGGACATTGGAACCTGTTAATAGAATGCCAAATCGAATGCAATTATTTTCAATTAAATTTTATTGTTTACATTCTGAGAGGTGTATCAAAACTTCACAGACAAGAGAATATGTCACAGAACATGCATTTTTCGTTTACAGAGAGGTGACAGTCGGCTTCAGATAAACCATCCTGTGTCACTACAAAATTACTTTAATGGGGGGAAAAACATCATGGCATACAATTTATCGAGAGGAAAACGAAACACATACCACATATCCAAGTACACAGCGATGTTTACATAGCAATACACGTATACCTACACGTGTATGAGTAACAAACGCGACTACTATTTCATGATGGTCAACTACTAAACTAAAGGAAATGCACCTTTAAAGGGCATATCGAGGTAAATAAACATGATCTAAAATAAAAACCCAGCAGACCGTAATTCATGTACATAGCTTATAATCGTTAGTCTCATTTGCTGAGTGCCCGTACATACTTCACAAGCAGGGCCATGCAACCTTACTGAGGTCTCTACTAACAATACCTTTTTCCAAAAGACCTTTACTATAAGGTTAATTAATCTGGCTAATTATCTGCCATGTATATATATATATATATACATATTTATATATATATCAGCAATTTAATTTTGTTGTATTCACTGCTGATATACATATTATACATATATATATCCACTTTTTCCCACTCTACAAATCCACCTCCCGTATAGAGCATGTAACCACATTCAAGCCGTTGATAACATCACATAGTCTCTGACTTTATTCATACAAGTTGCTACCTAAAACGAATTCACTATATTGCTAACGATCCAAAGTTTATACACGTACAGTTCTGATTGATAACTGCTGTGGCACAGACAAATGCACTTATTGCATGCGCACGCACGTACACACACGTAATGCACACATGCTCTCTTGAGGCCTCTCAACCTCACCTTACTTCTGTTTGTTCAAACCCGCGAAAGAACCCGAAACCTCGGAGACGAACACTCGCGAGAAAAACAAAACTGGGAGAAGCGACGCTGGCGCATTGCCAACCACAGGACGCCGACGCAACCTCGACAAATCACATCCTATAACCCGCTACGTCGCTACGCCTAACCCCGCTATGGCTCACGATCGACCCTCCGCGCTCAGCCGAAACGATACTGGCCTCTCGTCGCAGAGCACACTGCTGGCACCAAGGCTGCTGCCGCTGCCGCGTCGACCGCCGACAGAAGCATGACTAGTCGCAGTTTGTCACGGATCCCATCGACTGACAGAACGGCGACGGCAGACTGGAAGAATGCGGGGACCGCGCGGTCGATCGGCTCAGACCTTCGCCGGAACGCTGCCACCCTTGCTCTCCTCTTCGTGCAGCAGCACGCTGACGGCGTCCTTTATCGAATGGTAGATGATGTTCTTTATCTGCAAAGATGACGTGCGTCTTACTGCGTGAGCTCACCTACGATGCTACACGGTGCCGAGTGTCAGATGGGAGTGCGTGCGTGTGGAGGGGGTACTAATCGCAGCTGTAGCAGTGATTAATCTCACTTAGTGTTCTTGCTATATCATTCGGCCGGTGCATTATGTGCAAGCGACTAGTGGCCGACGAGCGGCTACGTGCGCCTGCGCCACCAGAGGGGCGCCGACCAGCACGGCGATCGGACGGAGAAACAAGCGCGCGTGCTCGCGGCTCTCACCTGCAGCTTGTCCTCGTGGTTCGTGTGCGTGTCCGACAGCTCCCTGAACTCCTGCGTGAGCGCGAAGCAGTGGCCGATGCCCTCTGGTGACACAAAGTCCTCCGCGACCTTGATGCAGCTGTGAAGGTTACGGACCTGCAGGGGTCGAAGACGCGAAATGATCACCACGTTACGCCACGACGCGTCGCGAACAAACGAATCGATCGAAGCGCAAGTTGTCGTTAAGATTAGGTGAGATGGCTAGTTCGACGAGTGATCCGATTCGATATTTTAAAATCGATTCCTCATCGCTTACCAAATGCACCGTGTAAGAGATTTCTCTTAACACGTTCAACGCTGCCTGGGTTAACAATGCACCTACCGCCCTGTGCTGAGATTTTCGCGTTTTTACCGCTTAGTCACCTATTACACAAAATGTTTTTGGCAGGTTTAACTAGCTATAAAATTATTTATAATTAGTGGCTAGTATAATATAGATATAAACTTACTCTCAGACATCAAAACAACACCGGAATCTATCACCCGTGATCTATCAAATCAAACACAACTTTCAGACATAAAAACGACTTCACAACACACGGCGGTCAAACGCCCTTTGGCGAGGTGAACTAAAAACATTACCTCAGTCCCAAAAACTCCCAAAATAACGTTCCAAACAACAGTAATGTATTGTATAAGTTATGTCATCTACTACTGGGGTTTATACAGTGACGCTATTGAATTGCTAAGCGTATAGCCCCTGCCATCTATAAGAGAACATAGTAAACGTTCCAAATTTTTATTTTTTTTTATTTTTTATTTTTGCCACGAGTATACTCGTGTTTCGCGGTCGTGCGTTTTGCAGGTTCGAACGAATATACTCGTGTTACGCGTTGAACGTGTTAAAATGTTTTATGAAATAATGTAGCTAATCGTAGCGCGTTACATGGTTAAATTGCTGTATAATACATGTAATATATTGTATAATGAAACGTAAGTTAACGTAATGACATAATTGGAGGTGCCCACACCCGTCAGCGTGCATCACCCCCTCTCGCCAGGGATGCCCCACCCACATGCAGCTCACCCCCTCCCCCCAATAATGTGCATCACCCCGCTCTCTGAAGATGCCCCACCCGCGCGTGTCAAGGGTTAGCACCGTCATGGTAACCTCACACAGGTCACCCCCTCCCCCGGGATGCCCCCCTCTCTGCCCTCACACAGATCACCCCCTCTTCGCCCTCACACAGATCACCCCCTCTCCGCCCTCACACAGGTCACCCCCTCCCCCGGGATGCCCCCTCTCCGCCCTCACACAGGTCACCCCCTCCCCCGGGATGTCCCCTCTCCGCCCTCACACAGGTCACCCCCTTCCCCGGGATGTCCCCTCTCCGCCCTCACACAGGTCACCCCCTTCCCCGGGATGCCCCCTCTCCGCCCTCAGCTCACACACAGATCAGCCCCTCCCCAGGGATACCCCCTCGGTGAACCCGTGATGGTGTACGTCCGGCCTCCTCCCCGCCCCTGCCCGCTGGACACGCCCCGCCGAGCGAGCCGGGGCCCGCGCCCCCGCGCCCGCCTCGCCCGCCCGCCCCGCCGCCCCCCCGTCGCGGGACTTCCCCCTTCCTGCGCCGCCCCCCCACGCGCTCGCACCCCCAGCGGGGGGGGGGGGGGCCCCCCCCCCCAGGTCCACCCCCCCGCTCCCCCCCCCTCCCGGCGCCCCGCGATGCTCCCGCCCCCTCAACTGCCCCTCACCCACCCCAGGTCACCCCTTTTTTTCTCGCTTGCCTCCTCTGGATGGCTCCGCCCCGTGTTTCTCCCGGCCGTTTTCTCTACTACTAGCGTCACCCGCTCTTTTTTGTGCTTCCGCGCCCCTTCCTGGGGTGTCCAAGTCTCGGTGTCGGGGGTCTGAGCGGCGCCGGATCAGTGCACCGTGTGGGAGCGCGCCCCCCCCCCGAAGCCCAGGACGTATGGAAGGACGCAGTCGCCGCGAGGAACTGTCACGATGCAGGTAGCCGGTCGACGCCGTACTCATCGCTAGAGCGTCTGCTGCCGCAGGGTAGCTGTCGAGTANAGAGAGAGAGAGAGAGAGAGAGAGAGAGATAGAGAGAGATGACTTGTCGTCAAACTTCCATTCGCGCATGTACACACATACGTGCGGTCATTTATCGAATATCACAGAGTACACTGACCTTCCTGAGCAGTTGACGTATCTTGTCAGCATCTTCTGCGGCAAATATGTGCCAGAGGGCGCCAGGTACTTCATCTTTGTCGCGCAGCCGCGCCCGCATAAAGATATCAGCATCCGCATGCTCCACAGCACGAATCGCCTCTGTATTATTAACAATAATAACAATAATGATGATTGTGATGATGATAATAATAATAGTAGTAGCTACAGCAGCAGCAGCAGCAGCAGCAGCACCACCTCCAGCAGCAGCAGTCGCAACAGCAGTAATAGTAGCAGTAATAGCAGCAGCAGCAGCAGCACCACCACCAGCAGTAATAGCAGCAGCAGCAGCAGCAGCACTATCAGTATTACCAGTAACAGTAGAATTAATGATAAGAATAAGAATTACACACCAGAATCACATTACCGGGTCAACGACGAGACAAGGGTGGAGGCAGGGGGTCAACGACAGGGCAGGGGTGGAGGCCGGTGGTCAACGACGGAGCAGGGGCGGAGGCGGGGGGTTAACAACGAGGGAGGGGTGGAGGCGGGTGGTCAACAACGAGGCATATGCAGAGGCGGGGGGGTCAACGAGCTACGAACCTTCGCGGTGGTCGTGTAGCGGGTCGTCGTCGGGGATGCCGACGTACACCATCACGTTCACCGCGTCCGAGATGTCCAGATGCAGATTCGTCGTCCCTTCACTCGGAAACATCGCCGAACCTGCCGCCGCAATAATATATATATATATATATNGAGAGGGAAGAGATCGAGAGCAGAGAGAGAGAGGAGAGAGAGAGAGAGAGGAGATGAGAGAGAGAGGAGAGGCAGAGAGAGAGATGAGGAGAGCAGAGGAGAGAGAGCAGAGACTGATGAGAGGAGAGAGGAGAGAGGACCGATGAGGCAGGAGAGATGCAGAGAGAGAGAAGATGAGAGAGAGACGAGGAGAGGAGCATGATGACTGAAGAGAGAGACTCTGAGAGAGAGAGAGACGAGAGAGACAAGAGATGACTTTGTCGTCAAACTTCATTTCGCGCATGTACACACATACGTGCTGTCATTATCGAATATCACAGGTACACTGACCTTCCTGAGCAGTGAGTATTTGTCAGCATCTTTCTGCCGCAAAATATTGTGCAGGAGGGCGCCCAGGTACTTCATCTTTTGTCGCAGCAGCGCGCCCGCATAAGATATCAGCATCCGCCATGCTCCACAGCACTGAATTCGCCTCTGTATTTTAACAATTAATAACCAATAATTGATGCTTGTAAATGATGATACATAATAATAGAAGAGAGTAGCTACAGCATCAGCAGCAGCCAGTAGCAGCAGCAGACCACCCCAGCAGAGAGCAAGCAGCCCACAACTAGAGTAATATAGCAGTAATAGCCAGCAGCAGCAGCGCAAGCAGCAGCACCACCACCAGCAGCAGCAAGCAGCAGCAGCAGGCAGGCAGGGAGCAGCAGGCAGCAGCAGCAGCAGCAGCAAGCAGCGCACCACCACCACCACCACCAGCAGCAGCAGCAGCAGCAGCACCACCACCACACACCAGGCAGCAGCAGCGCAGCAGCCAGCAGCAGCAGCCACCACACCACCCACCAGCTAGCAGCAGCAGCAGAGCAGCAGCAGCAGCCAGCAGCACCATCAGTATTACCAGTAACAGTTAGAATTAACTATAAGATGATAAGAATTACACACCAGGAATCACATTACCAGGTCAACAACGAGACGGGGTGGAGGCTGGGATCAAGGACGGGGCAAGAGTGGGCGGGGGGTCAACGACGATACAGGGGTGGAGGCGGTGGTGGGGGGGGGTCAACGACGGACGGGTGGAGGCAGGAATATCAACGACGAGGCAGGCGGTGGAGGCGGGCGGTCAACGACAGGGCAGGGGTGGAGGCCGGTGCGTCAACGACAGAGAGCAGGGGCGGCAGGCGGCGATGTCAACGACGGGCAGGCTGGCGAGGCGGGGCGTCAGCAACGAAGGATATGCGGAGGCGGAGGAGGCGTCGCGACGAGCTACGAACCTGCGCGGTGGGTCGCGTGTAACGGGTCATCCGTCGGGATGCCGACGTTACACATTCACGTTCACCGCGTCCGAGATTGTCCAGATGCAGATTCGTCGCCCCTTCACTCGATGGAAACATCGCGAACCTGCCGCTCCGCAATAAATATACTATACTTATTATATTTATTACATGATAATATACATATAATATGACTAATCCACACACTCACTCACGCACGCCCGCACGCACGCACGCGACGCCACGCACGCACGCACGCACACGCACGCACGCACGCACGCACGCACGCACGCACGCACGCACGCACGCACGCACACACATATTAGAGGGTTCCTCCACTTAAGTCATTTTTAAATATTTCTTTTGGGAGTCTTTCATGAGTCTTAAAAGGACCATTTCTACGACCGAGACATTTTCAAAAGCAATTTTTAAGCAGCATAAACACCACGTGCTGCACGAAAAAAAGGTGAAAAAGAAAGCAGCGAAAACACGAAGAAAACGACCCTGAGCGTTAAGCAACGAAAACAAAAGAGAAAACGATCGCGAGTCGTCGGGTGAGTACCGTATGCGTTGTACATCTTCGGGCCGAGGTCAGGTCTGACGAATATCTCTGGAAGCCTGGAGCAGAGGTTGAAGCAACCATCCCTGCGCGTGTACTGAGGAATCGGAATGTGGCACATGAGGTCTTCGAACCTGAAAGAGGGAAGGAAGCGTGGATGTAACAGGCGATGGTGAAGATATCCACCACATTCGTATGATGGTCACAGGTATAGGAGCATCCGTCCTGCGTGGTAGAGAGGTTTGCTGTCTGAGGGAAGGGAAACCTATCAGGCGACAGCGAAGATATCCACCAAATTCGTATGATGGTCACAGGTATAGGAGCATCTGTCCTGTGTGGTAGAGAGGTTTGCTGTCTGATACAAGGCAGTAAGCAGGGACACATTAGGTGACAATGAAGATATCCACCAAATGCATACGATGGTCACATACAATATATGAGAACAACTGTCCTGTGTGGTAGAGAGGTTTGCTGTCTGATGGAATGGAGAAAGCATGGACGTATCAAGTGACAGTAAAAATATCCACCACATTCGTATGATGGGCACAATATATAAGAGCATCTGTTCCGTGTGGTAGGGAAGTTTGCTGTCTGATACAAGGCAGGAAGCAGGAATGTAGTGTCAGGTGGCCGTGAATACATCCACCACATACGTATGACGATCACAGCTATAGGAGTATCTGTCTGTATAGGGAGGTTGGCTGCCTGATCGAAGGAAGAAGAGGAGGGGAACCTGTGTGTAGGAAACCTCAGGAGAGACTTACCTATCAGGTAGAAGGGTAAAGAAATCCTCTCCTGGTGGCCAATCCTTTAGCTTAAGCAGTATCGACTCACCGTTGTCATCCTTGATTGTCCGTTCTGCGAAGTGAATCGTGAAGATAGGGTTATTTACGCAATGACGATGACCAATGACTAAACCCAATGATCAATCACTTATAATCAATTATATATATAATATATTATATATATATATATAGTATATATATATCAATTATAAGCATGATAAACTATTTTAAACGAATGATCACATTAAATACACCAGTCTCGACGCACTTCGGCCCCGCCGTTTTGCCACGTAGCGCACAGCTCGCGGTGAAGCCGCGCCCCCCAACAGCGAAATACGCCGCCCCTTTTTGTCCACTTAGACAGATACCTTAGACAGGGGTATTGAAAACGAACTTCCGCGAAAACTGGGCGCCAATCCACACGACATTTCCCGATGGACGGCAGGAGGCCATCTCCAAACGGCCCCTAAACTTTTTTGGGCTTTTTGGGGGCGTGGCGCGCCTCATGGCTAAGACGTCGTGGACTCCTACAAGAAACCTCAAGAAATGCTGTCAATCAGCGATGAGACGACGCTCGCTCATGGCCGCTACGCGATGACGTGCGCTTCTGCGCGAGTATAGCGTTATGTCTATCACAGAGCTTTAACGAAAGTCTGGTACGGGCGCTCCACGTGGGGGGCGCGGTCTAGATGCTATCTCCAAAAGCGGCGCCGCCTGGCTGCGTACGTGCCACGTTTTCGACCAACCTCCTGACCCCGCGCTGCCTTGGTGATGGCACGTCGTGCGAGCACTGCGCTGGCGTGCCGGGCGTGGCCGGCGTGGCTGGCGTGGCAAACCAGCAGCAGCACCAAATACTTGCGTCCCTGCTAGCTGCGCTGCAGCCGCGCGCTCTGCGGAGGCAGCAAAAGCAGCAGCAGCAGAAATGCCCTCCCCCAAGGTCGTCGCCGTAATCAAGCGTGTACGTCTCACAAAAACTGCGCCGATGTTACGCTTCCCGCTATACGGATTCGCGCCGCCCGCCCTCCTTCAGCGCAAGCGAATTCGATATAGCGGGCAGCGCCGAGGATGCTACATACAACACCCGCGGTCCCGCGTGCGCCAGTCCGCGGAAGGGCCGGCCGTTAACGCTCTCGGCGGTCGGGGAATAACGCCATACTTTTGCGCAACGCCATCTTGTACCCGTCTCTCTGGTTGCGATACATGATTGCGCACTTGAACAGAACTGCCAAAATACTTGCAAGTAGCACTGCAAGCACACCACCATAACAACCACAAGAGAAAAATCGAAACTAGGAAAGCAGGAGAAATGAACCTCACGTGATTCAAGATCAAATGCGTATAACGGACTCCCTGGGTTCTTGGTTATGTATAGCCGAATGCCAAGAGAGTTGCACAGAATCCTGCGCATACAAAATCGGGGAGTCCGACGGTAATACAATCGCTATTCGATGCCGGAGTCAACTCCTGTAGCGCACGCAGCTGCCCTACGGTCGCCCTACTCACTCGTGAGCTTTTCGAATCCGTCCCAGAAGACGTTTCATCGGGTAGTCCGTGATCGTGGCGCCTGTCTTGCAGTTGATGAGGTCGTTCTTCACGTCGCCGAAGTCGCGAGTGAACGAGGCCGGCTCCCACAGGTCTCTGTTCAACAGCTTGTGGTTGCCCGACACGACCACAGGCTGCAAGCAAGCACCGCAGATTCGAGATCGATCAATTACTCAGCTTTCGTGGGCAAGGCAGAAACGAATTTAAACGTGTACGAACACACGGCTGCATGCCATTGCGGCAACATGACACATCTGCAAGAGAAGTATCTCCATAGCACATCACGTTATGTTGCACATGAACTAATAGCACAGTTGTACGTTGTACAAACCGTCCACCTGAAGACTACACACGAAAAACAGACGCGCTACAACAGGAATTCACCGATCGCCGCCCCCCCGTCACCCCAGCGCCCAACACCGCCGTCGCCCGTCCCGTCACCCCAGCCGCCCCCACCGCCGTCACGCCGCGTCCGCGTCACCCCCGCCGCCGTCGCCACGTCCCACCACGGGCCCCCCACCGCCCGTCGCCGCGTCCGGTCACCCCAGCCGTTCCCACGCCGTCGCCACGTCCCACCCCAGCCGCCCCCACCGCCGTCGCCGCGTCGCGTCACCCCCGCCGCCGTCGCCACGTCCCACCACGGCCGCCCCCACCGCCGCTCGCCGCGTCCGGTCACCCCCCGCCGCCGTCGCCACGTCCCACCACGGCCGCCCCCACCACCGCGTCGCCGCACAGTCCGTCACCCCAGGCCCCCTGCCCCCCGCCGTCGCCGGCGTCCCGTCACCATCGCCGCCGTCCCGTCACTCCCGCCGCCCCCCACCGCCATCGCCACGTCCCATCATCCCCGCCGCCCCCCGGCCCCCTGCCGCCCACCACGGCACCCCGCTCGCCGCCGTCCCACCACCGCCGCCGCCGCGTCACGTACCTGGCCGCGCTTCCACTGGTCCTGGAAGAGCTTCATGTTGGCCGGGTTGGTGGGGTCGTGCAGCCTCAGCAGCGCGGCCGTCGCACAGCACAGTGTGCGGCACGTCCGGGTACAGCAGCTTCGTCTCCATCATCGTACGCTTGACCGGCTTCAGCGCGTTCGACGTCTGCAGCGGCTGAAACATGAGAACATCCCTCCGTTCGTTCGTTCATTCGTTCGTATTGTCGTTGATGACGATGATTCGATCTTTGTCCGCGGATCTCATCGCGCAGGTTTCCCCCCACGTGGATTTCCCGCAATGCATCCACCCAAGACGCAGCTAGCGTCACACAGAAACGGTTCGACAAATGTCGTTTCATTTTCACGAATCGTTAAGAAAACATCTCGGATACGCGTCTTCCGGCTGAAGACAGTCTTTCCCTTAACACACTCGCAGACTCTCTATCGCCCTCAACCAAACAGGTTTCGACTCTCGGGTTGAAACCGTTAGCTACACATAATAATTAATGAAAGTGTCAATGACACTGTAGCTCACCTTGGGTTGTATATAAAAGAGAGCGGCGGATATATAAAGCAAGAGTATATATAGGAGAACTCCCATTATATAGCAATCTCCCATTATATACTCTTGAATAATGATATAGCATAAGTTCTGATGGCGAAAATAAATGTTTCAGATCTGAAAGTCTGAAATCTTGACGAGAGAATGGCGCTACGCCTAAATGATCGCCCATTTGGTTTTCCGAATATCACGTAAATAACAATCATGCGCGGAGCGACAGCGCTCATCTAACGTCTTACTGCGGTGACTCTGTGGTGGAGTGGTGGGATTCTAGTAAAACCCTGTTAGTCCCAAATGTGTTCACAATACACGCCGAAACAGTGGAATGCACAGGAATGTATCAGAGAACCTTCTCAAAGGAATGTTCATTGGGATCGTATTGAAGATTGCCAACGAAATGTGCGCACTCGTACGTTTAAGGGTCTTTCAGATTAAGTGGAAGCTCTCACGTACGTAGTAGCAACAACTATTTCGTCCACAGAACGGAGAATAGGTAAGGCACATCCATCCATTTACCTCGCTAAGCACTACAGGCTTGCAAATTGCAATAGAGAGCTGGCCACTGTAACCAATTACGGCAAGCAAAAAACTGCAACCAACACATGCACTGGCAGCAGCCACTGGCAGTGGCATTACGTTACATGTAACATACTGACGCGACAGAATGGCCATAGAAATTATACGATTTAAGCGAACATACATCCTTCTTTAACCCATTTTATGCTTTGAAATTTCATTGTGAACATTGTAAGCCTCAGACATCAGGCATGTATAGATTCTACTAGCAAACCCGCAGTCAAATTCTTTCTACAGACAGTCAACAAATACAAGTTTAACCCTCCTCTTGAGGGTCAAAAGGTTATCCGACACTTACTCTTCGCATGTCAGCAGAAGGGACATTTCATCGGTCCTTTCAATAAAGCCATAAAAATACTAGGTCACCGCTGAAAACAAAAAAGTTTCATACGCGGTCCGTCAGACCATGTCGCTCAGAAAATGTCTAAAATCTGCCCTGTGCTCACTGACGCTTTGACCTGTGACCTCAATTTCGCACAGTGATGGCTTTCCCTACCATGATGCATACACCGACTATCAGCGAGCCTAGTCGAGCCGTTTAGATTGTGCCGCAATTCTGCATTTCCTCCCTATACCTTAAGTTAAGGAGTGAATGTTCCCCCTTCTTTTACACCTCTCTGACCTTTGACCTTTGACCCAGCCTTCGACATGCCCAACTCGTTTTGACGATCCCCCCAATGTGCCGAAATCGTGACCGTACGTCGAGCGCGTTAAGATTTTGTGCCCAACTGTTGACGGCACGCGCACGACACGGACGCACGGGGCAACTACGGGGTACGAGAACCTTTCACGCTTCGCCGGACCTTCACATCGTTTCAATTGGTGACCCTCTTTTCGGCGGGCCTTTTTTTTTTTTTTTATCTTACGGTGTGACATTTAATTACTATCATCCGGAATGTTCATACCTATCAGTGGTGTCGCAATGTTCCGTGCACGGGACGATCAAGCGATTCTACAAGCTGCATCTGACTATGTCAGATGAGCTAAAAACACTAAAGAGTAAAGTATTCCAGTCAAATTACTGTAACGAAGAATCTAAAACACAATATTACACGTATATGGGTATGATTGTAGAGTTGTTGACCAGTTAGATGAAATAAACGTAATAGGACGTTGTCATCCCTCCCATAGGAGTAACAACAGTTACTGTTTTGGGGCTAGCCTTGCACATTCACATACCAAAATGGGTAAAACTAATCCCCGGGCACTCTGGCAGGGCGAGCCCACAGTGTAGGGGTGGTCGGGTAGGGTAGGGTCGGGTAAGGTAGGCCTAAGTTGAACCCTGACCCTAACCCTAACCCTAACCCTATTCCTAACCCGGCGGAGTGAGTAACCCTAACCCTAACCCTAAACCTAACCTAAACCCTAACCCTAACCATACCCTACCCGACCACCCCTACATTGTGGGCTCGCCCTGCCAGAGTGCCCGGGGATTAGTCTTTTCCTACCAAAATTTAACAAAATCGAATGAATTTAGATGGCTATTTTGATTTTGCAAAAAAAGTGGGCATGGCTCGAAAGTAGGTCGACTGGCGTGCTCCAAAATAGGAAGTTCAAATCTCTTCCATAGGAGTAACAACTGTATGCAATTTGAAACATGTGGGTCAAACGGTTCTTGAGTTATCGTTGACCGTAGGCAGACACTGAAATGCATAGTGAAACGGCCAAAATCTACTTAATTTGCATAGTTTAAAAAAATATTAAAACCTGTGTGATATGTTTTCGGGCCAGTCCTTATTCATTCACATACTAGAAATGAGCAAAATCCGTTGAACCAGCTAACTTCAATTATGGCCATTTCCATTTTTGGCAAAAAGTGGACGTGGCTCGAATGTAGTGGTGTGCTCCAAAATCGGACGTTCAAACCTCTCCCATAGGAGTAACAACTATATGCAATTTGAAGCATGTAGGTCAAACGGTTCTTGAGTTATCGTTGACCGCAGCCAAATGTTCACGAACGGACGGACGGACGTACGACACCCCATGGCAATAGCTCATCTTGACGATGTCAAGGCGAGATAAAAATCTACTTAACAGGGATTGCGTGTACAGACACCGTACGTGGTTCAGTTCGCTGCCGTCGTATTCGCTTCGCATTATTCGCTAGTCGCGCGCTCGCGCCGCAGCCCCGACTGCGAGCGTCTTGCATACTCACAAGTTTCGACGTAGGGCTCAGAGCGAAGGGTGAGATGGGCGGCGGCCTCGCGCGAGCCTTGGAGCCCTTGGCAGACGGTAGCAGGCTCTGCTGTATGACGCTGGCCAGCACCGCGTCCAGGCCGCACGGCGCCCCCGAGAACCCTGCAACAAGCGAGAACGCGGCTAGAGACACACGAAAGAATGTCTACAAAGACGCAACATGTGAGAACGCGGCTAGAGACACACGAAAGAACGTCTACAGAGACGCAACAAGCGAGAACGCGACTAGAGACACGAAAGAACATCTACAGAGACTCAACAAGCGAGAACGCGGCTAGAGACACACGGAAGAACGTCTACAGAGACGCAACAAGCGAGAACGCGGCTAGAGACACACGGAAGAACGTCTACAGAGACGCAACAAGCGAGAACGCGCTAGAGACACACGGAAGAACGTCTACAGAGACGCAACAAGCGAGAACGCGTCTAGAGACACACGGAAGAACGTCTACAGAGACGTGACGCCGCGACGTCAGGCGTCATGTCAACTGCTGCCGGAAATGTAAAACATCAAACAAAATAATAATAATAAATGAATAAAAACGTATTCCAGACTTCATACGACAACACGTAACTGTTAGAAATAATGATTAGTTCTTCTGTCATTGTTTTACATGATATATGACATCCACGATGACAAATGTTGACAATCCTATGGACCTCGCCTACCAGACATAGAGGGAAGCACTGCAGCTAGACCGGTCACGGGTTTCGCTTGGTTCTGCTCGTGAGTGGGAAGCAGCAGAGATCCGATGGCACTAGATGGTGGATCAGCAGCAGTCTCAGTCTTTACCACCACCCTCTCCTTCTTTGCTCCGTCCGCGAGACGCATACTGATATTCTTCAGCATGTCCTGGTCGATAATTAATTAAACACGGTAATAATTAGTTAACTTAACGACCGAACAATTAATCGTTAGTGGAACGTACGGCTATGCAGAATGTAGAATTTTAGAATTAACATTAGCCTCAACTTTACTATATTTAATATGTATGCCCCCCTCTCTATAGCAACTAAATCTCTGCACCTCTTTGTAGCCTCCTCTCTCCGGCTGGGTACTCTTCTTCTTCGAGCCCTGGCTGCACGGACAATTCTCCGGAATCTTCCACTTGGACCTGACCTTGTGCACGAGCTTCCGAACCTTCCACAGCGCTGCGAGAACAAGAGAACATCAATTATAAACAACGCACCCCCAAGTCACGGCCGGGAAAAGTGCCATTCTGTTGCAGAGTAAATACACATTACACTGGAGATAAACACAGAAATGCATCCACCGATCGATGCCCTTTGCTACGACACCTGAAATTCTAATTTACTACTTCACAATTATCTTGCCAGTCGGTGTTGGTGGGTTACCACGGTGACAGCGACGACTTACCGTCAGCCGGTATGATCTGTGTAAACATCATCTGTTTCTCGTTGTGCCAGATCTTATCCTTGTAGTTGCATATCAACCAGTTGTATTCATCTCGATCCTTGGTGAATGAAGTCACCACACTATACGTGCAGCAAATAAAGGAAGACATCAACACACCACATTGCTTACATGTGTAAAAATAAAGGCAGCCACTTGCAAATAAAGATGAGGCAGTACTGCTAAAAGGTTACCCGTCCCGGACTGGAGGGACGCCATTTCCAAAGACCGACATAAAGCGAAAATACACGTACCAGAACCCGTAAATACACATGCATCTACTATTACTTGCAGCACTGCTAACGATTTCATCCAGAAAACCCAAAACTTCTAAATTCTGGCTGTCACTTCTCCAGTGGATCGACTCCAGAAGAAAACCCGAAAAGTGGTGGCCCTGGGGCATACCTAGCAGGCGGTGCGTCACTGGCCTCCTTGGACTCTGTGTCCTTCATGCGCGTGCGGTAGCAGTCGAGGCAGACAACGAAGCCGCAGCGGAAGCAAACCCAGTGGAAGTTGAAGAGAGTCGTCATGCACACGTCGCACATCTCGCGCACACCCTGCACGACTCGCTTCCACGCCGCCTCTGTTACGCGTGCGAGAGAGAGAGAGAGACAGAGATGCAGGGTACGGTTACATCATCACGTGCACGATTGCTCGCGTTTGCTCACAATGCGCATATAATAAATAGCAGAGTGTAGAAAGGGTGGAAGAGAGAGAGAAAGATATGTAGGTAGCGAGAGAGGGAGAGAGAGAGAGAGAGAGAGAGAGAGAGAGAGAGAGAGAGAGAGAGAGAGAGAGAGAGAGAGAGAGAGAGAGAGAGAGAGAGAGAGAGAGAGAGAGAGAGAGAGAGAGAGAGAGAGAGAGAGAGAGAGAGAGAGAGAGAGAGAGAGAGAGAGAGAGAGAGAGAGAGAGAGAGAGAGAG